TGTTTGTATCCCGTTTGACGATGCCCTATGCAAAATAATCCAACGGATTGATATCGGCTTGGGGGCCAAATTTCTTTCTCCCAAAATTCCGAAATATTTTCCGCAAGCTATTTCTGTGTTTTATTAGCAGTATCACTTTTCCAGGCCTTTTTTCATATTATACACTGTTCTTTCTTCACTGCTCTCTTGTTTCGACATCTTTACGTTTACTAAACACTGTTTGTTTACATCTTACACCTAACAGTATAAGCAATTCAGTGTTGCCAAATATATCTAAATCATGATCCACAAGGATGAAAAATTACTTTTTGAAATTTACTGCAAAACTTCGTCACGCACCCTGAAGGTTATCTTTTAATACACCATTCATTTTGCGCCAAAAGCGGATACAACTTAGAAACGTACATTTCTTGAGAACCAAAAACGAGCTACGCAAACTAACAATGCCATTTGATTGCATGGGTGTGTTTTGATTCTTGAGAAATTTGCGTTTATAGCCATTTCTTACGTTTGGTTGTTCCGCATATTTCAATTGTTGCTTGGAGGCGAACCAGCCCCAGGCTGAAAGCTTTCCTAATAAAGATAAATTAATTAATTAATTTCAATTGTTGGTCTAAATATTCTGCTCATTGCTGCTTTAGGATCTACCGTCAACGTTGGAAGCCGTCTTTGAATAACTTCTATCTTGTTCAATGGAGCCAGTAAATTAAAAAAAGCATACTCAATGCATTCTTGGACGAACTTCATTAAAGTTCCCTGAAGTTCCGACGGGAAATTCATAGCTTTTTCGTCAAGAAGTTTAAATATCTTGCGATGACAAGTTTAGTGAATTTCCGACGAAATACTCATTGAACTTCCGATGAATAGTTCAGAGAACTTCCGACGAAAAATTCACAGAATTTCATTAATTTTTCCTAAAATTCATAGAACATCATTTAAGTTCTCTGACGTTAGAAAGTTCAGTGAACTTCCGTCGAGAAGTTAAGAGAATTTTTACCAAGAGATTCATTTAACTTCTCGAACTTCTTGGAAGTTCCATAGAAACTTCTTGGAAGTTCCATAGAAAAGTTTAAAGAACTTTCTACGAGAAATTCAGAGTACTTCCGACGACAAGTTCAGAGATCTTCTAAAGAGAAGTTTCGAGAAGTTCACAGAACTTCATTTAAATTCCCTAAAATGCCGACGGGTGGTTCTCAGAACTTCCAATAAGAAGTAAACAGAATTTTTGACGAAACATATCGAGAAGTGGCCGGCGCTGGTGGTGTAGTGGTAAACGTGGCTGTTGTCTCACCCCAATGGGTCTGGGTTCAATCCCAGCCGAGGTCGGTGGGATTTTTCTGAGGCATAAAAATCTCTGGTCACGTCTTCCTTCGGAAGGGAAGTAAAGTCGTTGGTCCCGGCCCATGTGTGTTTGAATGGGTGCGATATCCTACGAAGGTGTGGAAGCTGCCTTCCTGCACATTCGATTGCCCTCAATGGATGGCAATCGATGTCCGTCGGTGATTGGCATTAGATTGTGGAACAGAGACCGACGTTAAATAAAGGAAAGAAGAAAAAGAAAATATCGAGAAGTCCAAAGAACTTTGGATGAGGATTTCCAAGATTTTCTGACGACAAGTTCTGAGAACTTTAGACAAGGAATACAGAGAATTTGCGACAAAAAGCTCTTAGTACTTCTGACAAGATGTTCATACTACGTTCAGAGAACCTCCGAGGGAAATATCAGAGATCTTCCGGCGAGAAGTTCAAAGATATTTCGAGGAGGAGTTCAAAGCTTCCGCGGATAAATTCACCAAACATCCGAGGAAAAGTTCAGAGAAGTTCTGAGAACATCTGATGAAAAATTCAGAGATATTATCAAATTTCCGACGAGATGTTCAGAGACGTGAAATTCTGAGAACTACTGACGATAAATTCTGAGATCTTCCAATCAAATTCACGGTACTTTCGACAAGAAATTCATCCAGAAGGGCAGCATAATCAGAAGCAATATCCATTCCAAATAGGCAACAAGTTTCTTGGCAAACATGGAACATTAGCGTAATTACCACTCACCCCAGTAGGCCTGGATTCAATCCCAGTCGGCGCCGCCGGGATGTTCTGAGGCATAACATCTCTGATCACGCCTTCCTTCGGACGGGAAGTAAAGCCGTTGGTCCCCAACAGTTTCAATCACTGGCTGCTTATTCCCAAAATATGATGTGTATAACTTTTCCGAATTTATTTGCGGCAGCCGAACAGATTGTCCTGAAAGATAATGAAGATGTTGAAACATTATGCAACGCGCGGAAGAACGTCCCGATTGGGACCAAGCCGTAGCACACTTTATGGTAGCTGCGGTCGGAACAGCTGCAGCGATCAGCGAATCGGATTCCGCAATCATAAACAGAAAAATGAGCGGTGAGAGCAGATTTTGTTTAGGCTGAGTTCTTTTGAAAATCCGAGATTTTCTGAAATGCGCCGAAACTGGCGTATTAAAGTTATATCTGAGATTATAAATGGAGGATAATACGGCATGGTTCTTAGCAAAGTCGAGGATAATTCGAGATTGACGTATTATCCTCGATGGAGCTTACCGTTAAAAATGATTGAAATTTAAGATCGCAGCAGATTACATAGAGTGGGTTCTATTATATAAGTCGAGCCGAGCGGCAATTCTGGTCATTGGTCTATGTATTTTGATATAACAGAAGTGATGTCAAATTAGACTAGTGACTATAGGTGACACTCAACTTGGCTTACATAATAGGAACCTACCATTCACTTGATTTACGTTGTGAAGGTATTGGAATATCATTAATATGCCAAACATCTCAATGACCTCAGTAATTAGTGGGTTTACTGAAGTGCATGTGTTACATTCATTGAGCAGTTCAAGTCTGTATAAGTTCCTTTCAACTAGTCGAAAATGGTCGAAGAATGTCAGGATGGGAAAACCAGTAACTTTAAAATTGTTTTTCCTATTTCACAACCTATTGAATAAAAGTTGAACACGAAAAAATCCGGACACATTCAAAACGCTGCCATTAAGGCATTTTTTGAGTAAAAGTTTTCAAAATTTAATTTGTTTACATCATGGCATCACCAGAGCAAGCATGCCGCGAATCGATAAAATTCCAGAGCAGGAATTTTATACCTCGGTTGACCGGAAGAATGAAAAATCAAGAAGTCTAAATTCCCCAAAAAGTTCCTTGTCTGGCAACCAATGTGCAAATGTGGGCTGAAAAGCAATACTTTCGGACCACTTGGAAAAAAATCCGTTCCCGAAAACGGGAACGGACCGTGAACTAAAAATCACGGCCACCTATCCAGAACAAAATTTTCTCAAATATACACCGTGAACTATGGTTCACGGCTGTGGTTCACGAATATGGGAACTCTTTTTTTCCCGTGCATGAACCAGCAAATTTATCCCGAAGAGTGTCTACGGAAGCGATTCCTACCTTTCCTGGAGCAGCATGAGGTGAATTGCCTATTCTGGCCGGACTTGGCAAGCTGCTACTACTCAAATTCCACCAAACAGTGGTACAGCAAAGATGGCGTCACAGTGGTTCCCAAGGAGATGAATCCGGCCAATACTCCAGAACTAAGGCCAATTGAAGAATACTGGTCAATTGTGATTCACAATTTGTGAAGCACATACTGAAGAAAAAGGGTGGATTTCAAGTGGAAATGGAATTCAGTCGTCAAACAAGTGGGAACAGGGCTCGTGCAAAAGATGATGGTGTGCGAAGAAAAGTTCGAGCAATTGCCTATGGTAAGAAGGAATACTGAAGCAATGGTCTTACAATGAACATAATATCTGTGATAATACCTACGAATGTATGGCTATTAAATTTACTCTGGATTTTTCCGTGTTTAACTTTCATAGGTCAAATGGACTATTCAAACACTTATATAATATTGAAATGCAGTACAGAAAATCGTATGAAAATGAAGAATAGTTTTCAAAAAAGCCTAAATACTGAAAAAAAAACCTTTGTGTAAAAACGAATTCATAGAGAAAATGAAATAGTTCGCTCGGTTGAACATGAAGACTAGGTACGCTAGTTCAATACTGGCTGTATTTGACAGACATGATATCGTACGGGATAAGAAAGTTACGTTCGGATAGACCTAATGCATTGTTTTTTGAAAAAAAAAAAAAAAAATCAACTGCCATTTTTTTGTGTAGAAATTAACATGATGCGGAACCCATCACATGATACATGATTATCATTTAATATTGTCTACCGAAATCCATGTGGATTTCATTTTGAAATTTTCCTGACTGCTTATTTCCTTTAATTTTTTTACAAACTGGTAACTGTTCTTCTTCTTCTTCGCATTTCAAGCTTATTGCATATCGCATATTAGCTTATTGCGTGCTCTCAACTTAGTGTTCTAGATGCACTTCCACAGTTATTAATTGAGAGCTTTCGATGCCTGTACCATTTTTGCATTAGTATAATTGTGTGGCAGTCCAATCATACTTCTATGCCCAGAGAAGTCGAGAAATTTTCCAACCCGAAAAATTCCTAGACCGGACCGGGAATTGAACCCAGCCACCTTCAGCATGGTCTTGCTTTGTAGCTGCGCCTTTACCGACTGAGCTAAGGGAGGCCCCAACTGGTAACTGTTATACATTGTAATTTTATTTTTTGTTAAATTTATTAACCTTTTCATATTTTTAGGGGGTTAGTGGACGTGAGGAAGGGAGGTGTGACAAAAAAAAAATCCCTTACGCAATTTAAAGATAAAATTCATAACTGGATCCAAAAAGACAGTAAATTTAAACATAATGATAACATACAAAATTAAATACTATTTAAGCTTCAGCAAAACTGAGAGGTAATCGATCGGTGCAAAATAAAGTCAAGTGCGTAACAGAAACAACGGAAAAATAAAACACAATCCACACCGGTTAAACGATAAAATAACTTTATTTCAATAGCAACTAACAAAAACACAAAGCTCCAGCAATGAATGGCTTTCGATACGGATTCAATTAATTAATTTACCACACTCAAACTGCCTGTTTGCTCTCGATTGCCCGAGTTCTCCGAATTTGTCGTTGTTCTGCGGCTCTGTTGCAATTTGTGCTTCCACACCAGGGCTAGTAATTACCCATTAGAGTCAAACGGCCGCAACACACATCGGAGCTTAGCCACCGGCCGCACGAAAGTACGCGCGAATGGGTTTTTATTGTTTCGCTCCGTCTCTCTGTCTCCCTCTGCTGCTATTGTTCACTTCACTCGATTGAACTTCATTAGTGCACCTCTAATGGGAAATCAACGCCTACGCTTTGAGTGGCAGACGGGTCCGCAGCCGTGCTCAATCAACACCTAGGAAATTAATAATGCGATTTTGGACGATTCACTGTTCGCCAAACAACGAGGTCCGGCGATTGTCCAGATTGTTCCACCGGCTTCAGGAAGCTATGCACTGAACCGTACCGTGTCAGGCTTGTAAAACCGATTATTATTCCAATTTGCGAACCAACGACAACCGGGACGGCAAAAACGGTACTTGCGTCCTAGACGAGTAACCGCATCGATTTATTCACAGTTTCGCTTTCCAACAGTTGCCCTCCAGTAGAAAGCAGGCCTTGCAATTTGCCACTCCTCGGTAGATTGCGGTGACACGGCGTTGGTAGGCAGGCAGGCAGGTTGGTTCGAGGTTAACCGCACTCATACGAAAAACTCTGTTGGTTTTCAGCTGGATTTCTGGTCCCGCAGCGGAAGCAAGTTCACACAGTGTTGTTGAAAAAAAAACTCACCGGCACGAGCCTTGACAATTTCACTCTAATCTGCAGTCCGTTTTTTGCAAGGTTCTATGGACGTTCACTCCTATCGGACGACCTTTTGGGTAACAAGTCCGGACAGATGGCAACAGCCTATAACTAAGCTTTGATCCAGCACCGTTTTTTTTCCTCTGGTGTTTTACAACATCTCATGCAATATGTATCACTAACTGCAAAAGCGATATGATTCGCTTTATCCTGACTGGAGCAAGTCCATATTCCCCCTTTGAATTAAAACGAGACGGCTTAGTTTGGAGGGGGTGCCTTATGGAGAGCGCGGTCCGTCGTAAGGTCCCATTCCACTTCCATTCATATGAAACACAGACCGACACGCCACCTTTCGGTCTAACGTCCAATTCAACGAGCCACCGAAATGCTGTTCGGTCCGGCTTGATTGATTGATGGTCTACTGCGATGGCTTTCACCTGTTTCGATGGAGCCAGGACAAAAAATCTGATCCCTTTTTTGTTAGTTTTTCCAGTGAAAAAAGAAAATTGAGATCCGTCACCGAGACAGCACACTTGCTCTTCACGCAATCTAATCAAACACCGCACACCGCGAGGGAACACGAGAGATTCGCGTCCTGTCCTACCCGAAGCGACGATACTACTGAGCGTTCGTCGTCGATTTCCGTTCCGTCCGGTGCTCTTCTCCCTTTGTACGACACAAACAATGCAACATTACAAAGAATCTGCTTCGGTTTGTCGGCTTCGGATCGTCATACGTCACGTCTGTCAGTGCAACACCACTTCTTGACTGCATCCCGTGTAGCGTAGCTCAAAAAGTTGCTCAATTTGAGTTTGTTCTCATTTTGGCTCTCGCTGGCCAACGAAGAGAGTGATCCGATTGCAGTCGCGGAATGCGTGGGAGTTGATACACAAAACACGATGTAATCCTGCTGTTTGTTTTGATCGTTTTCGTTCTTTCATCTGTTCGTTGGTCCGTTCGACGGTCCCTTCGCTCAATGTATCATAATTGTAGTCCCCTTCATCGGTCCTCCCCTCGTCGTTGTCTCGTGGACGGAATCTGAATTTGTACTTCTTTGTATGGCTACTGCAGTTATGGTGGTTGTGGTGGTGGTTGTTAGTGCTGTTCAAGGAGAGCTGTCACTGAGTTCGAAGTAACGCGACGATCCGAGCGACTGACTGATACGGCAGAGAGTGCCAGCCGAGGGGTGACGACGAGGCATAATTTTGATAGACACGTGAATAATGAATGCTTTCGGTGTTTATGTTGCGCTATGCTTTGCGTGTGCCGTTCGTTCCATTGGATGCTGTGCTGACATGAACGATTCGGCAGCGAAGACGGTGGCGGTATCGTTTTAATGAACTAGAAGCTGGAGAAATGGAAGAAATGGCTTTTAATTAATTACCCATTCTTGAGTGTTTGGAAAGGAATTTGCTTTGAGCCAGTAAGGGTGAAGTGGTTGATTTGCATTTCATGATGCTTGTCTTGGAAACAATAGCAGATATAACGGTTTTTGAAGTAGCTTTGTGTGATTTTTACGTTAAACAATGCAAACATTAAGAAAGTACCTAAAAGATGTACGTTGCGTGCAGAAAAAAAAAACTCAAAAAATACGTTAAAGACTGAGTTGCCTGTCAGCCATTGCCAGTGCTGAAATCTATCATTATCGTTCGTAGATTTGAAGCGTTATTTATGAAAATTAAATTTACACCGTCAATGGCTGCATGCTTGGCATACACAGTTTTGGTCACGAACTGCTCATTTGCTAATAACTTTGCACACAGTTGACGGAACAGAGTTCTTTTTGAAGCAGTAGATAGAATAGAGTGTAAGCTTGTTATAGATGTGTAAAAAAAAGTAGATTTTAATGCTAATAGTAAACTGTAATTGTTTTTGCGTTGTAAAAATGAGGTGAGAAATGCTCACTACACATCTCGGAATTTAAGTGTTAAATTGATTAGTGTTGATTCAAATGTTAAGCTTTATCTAATCTTCGCATATCTACAGTAAACTATGAGCCTAAACTATCAATTACTTGATAGATGAAGAAAAACAAATTTCAACATATTAGTGAAAAGTTATTACCAAATGAGCAGTTGGTGTGTACAACTGTGCATGCCAAGCATGGATGGCTGAACTGATAATCACATAAACCTTCGTTGTTTTTAAAATGTTGTGCCAATGTAGGAGAAACTTGTCTGTACATCCTAATTCACATTATTGTCATAAATAACAAGGAAATCGTGATGAGGGCGGGGCTTTGAAAGCATTTTTTGACGTAGGATTACGTTTTTCGCCAACATATTGGGGGTGCAATTTAAAAAAAAACTAAAATCGACCGTTTTACGAAAAGTGGTCAGGTTTTGACCACTTTTAACTTTGTCATTAGTGGATGGATTTTAATTCTAAACAAGCCAATCGATTGGAAATTTTTCTACAAAGCTGCTGAAATTAACACTTTATCAATATTCAATAGGTCGCTTTTGAAAATTACACAAATGTCCAACTTTTGCAATGGTGATCAAAATTATTATCAAATTGAATTCCATCCGGTCTCACCGAACAGTGCTTATTCAATCACTGTGTGATGGTGTCCGGTCAGTCGTCATTATCAGCAGCAGCAGTAGAAGCAGCAGTGCTTTCGGCGCGTGGCGTTGAATATTGTTATCCAGTTCATAACGAAAGGCTCCCCGCAAGCAGCAAGCTGCAGCCCACAAGAGAGTCCATTCACCGAAGAACGAGGAAGAAGGCATAACGCTACTGATCGGATTCAGTAGCACTTCGTGAGTGCCAAGCACGTCACCCTCGTTCCAAACAACATACAGATCGTATGTTTTGAACACCTTAATAGCTCAGCATTACTCAACCGTCACGACAAAAGTGTTCTTTTCAGAACCACCATAAATTATTGTTATTTAAGAGTTCATTTTCATTGAACGTTCGCTCGCCTTACTGCCAGCCACATTACCCCCAAAGCTCTTTGATAATGTACCCAACAACCAAACGTTTGTTGTCAAATGCGTAACAGTATTGAAGGGTATCCGCCCATTTGGCCGAATGCCTTTTGGCCGATCGCCATTAGTCCAAAGTCGTTTGACTGAATGGGTCGTTTGGCCGAAAATTTGAAAAGAGATTTCCAATTTTTGAACACTACTAGATTCCTAAATGACAGCCCTGTGCACTTTTTTTTTACTTTCCCCAATTCTGGTTTTTGACATTATAAATAAGAGCTTTTTTGTTAAATTGTATATTGTATAAAATTGAAATTTTATATTGTCGATGGATTCATTATTCTATTAAAGATAAGCCTTTCGTAATGTAATTCGTATTTTAAGCCACCCTTTTTACCATGCCCAGTTTTGGAGTCTTGATGATCTTCGGCCAAATGACATCCGGCCAAACGGCTTTAGGTCAAATGGCCCATTTGGCCAAACGGCATTCAGCAAAATTACCCGGAGCCGTATTGAAGTTGTACATACAAATTCTCGCAATGACCGAATAGCACATGACCTTCTCAAATAATCAGAAACACTTCGTATTAAGGTAGGGTTTTTTCTAGGACACTAGAAAAATATCTCGCGATTGAAAAGTTTTAGCAAGAAATTCCTCCAATCAAATTTCGTTTTTTTATAAATCAAAAATTCCGTGCGTTTGTGCATGAAAACGCATAAATATGTTATCAGAAAACGAGGCGCTTCCGTGATGGGAAAAAGTGGTTTTCGTAACACAGTCGCCGAATATTGATACCGAGCACGTAATCCTACGTCAAGTGTACGGTCTTGTCTTGGATACAACCTCTTACTTTTTGTTCAGAGTAGGATTTCGGATGTTAATTAGAGTGATTTCGGATGTTAATCTAAATGCATATATAGAGATACCAGACATGTTTTGCAGTGTCAGGTACTGTATTGTGAAGTCTGTGAAAGAGATCTATAGGATTGTTGACTGAACAACTAACGAAAACAGGTTATGTGTAATTTTAGATCGATACAACCGCCACAACAGCAGATCTGATTTAAAATTAATGCAGAAGCTTGACTAGATGGTTAGCTGTTGGGTGCCCATCCGGTGCATGTCTACATCTAAATCTGAACCTTTAAATGTGATTTTATTGTATGTGTTTGACACATAAATCCTATCAACTTCGCTTTCAGAGCATCACAATAAGTGATTTTATGATTCGTGAGTGTTCATTCATAGTTAATGCTCACGAATCGCAAAATCGCTGATAGTGACGCTCTGAAAGTAAAATTAACAGGTTTTATGTGCAAAACAAATACTTTCCAACCTTGTAACTAACGGCTAGCTCATCTCTAACTTTCAGGGTCGGCAAACCGCACTAGAAGAAACTCACCTGAATCCAACCAGCGACAAAATTCCAACCTGAAACTTTTTTTTAGATGCATGCAAGATTTAGAACACAAGTGTTACGTTAAGAACACCAAGCCAAAAAATATGTTCAGGGGATATTCAAAAACATCAAGAACCAAACTTTGCAGCACTTTTGTATTTTAGGAAAAGGAAAATGGTTTTAACTCACTGCCAGATGTCTGCTGATGCCTGCCTCGCTGATGCCGACGCCGCCGCCGCTGCAGTTGGATGCCACGTGTTCCCTCGTCGCTGGATCGCTTCAACCTTACCAGGGCCGATGCTGATACCGTTCCGATTCAAAACGGGTTGCTAGCATAGAAGTAACTCTAAGACTAGTAGGTCCCGAAGAAACGTGCTCAACTTTTTGGCTCAGCTCTGGTACTATCTTCGGTCCCAAGCTAATCGGTGCACCCCTCGAAACATAGGAAAATCTACTGACCCCCTTAATTTATCTGTCAAATTTCATAGCGAATCAAAACAAACATTGTGTTGTACTAGAAAACCGACTAGAATGAGCTAGTTAAGTAGTGAGCCAATTTTAAATCGATAGTTTCCACCCGTTGGTACTAGGTCGTGTGTTGTCGTACGACCGGTTCAGCGCATCTGGGAAGCGGTTCACTGTGCACAATCTTCACACACTTGGAGAGGAATTCAACCTAACTCACACCACGACCCCTTGTCTAACCGGTTTTTACTTCACGGCAGTGATGGAAAAGTTCGCGAAAACTTACTATGACTCACGAATTTTTCCCTTGGTGATCTTCGTGAAATATCGCGAATTTTTCCAACACTGCTTCACGGACAGTTCTTCAGGGTGTCGACTTAAACTTCACAAACTGGAAGACGACCTCTTGGAATTCTAACTGGCCTCAACGTTAGTGATAAGAAGGTCCAGTTTACCACCACGTGACCACTTAAGCTCACACTACCGTGTATTGTTCTTGGCGAGTTAGGTTAGACTTGGAGCTAAGCTCCTTTAACGTTCCTGTAGAGAATCAACCGACAAGAGTAACTAACACTGGCTGTCCAAAACTTCTCTAACTCCGGTAAAATAACGGGTTTGAATCTCACTTGCTGAACTTTGTTTCGGGTTTTTCTCACTTCGTGCGCGTTGAGCAGTAGGTGGTAATCTTCGCTGTAGCCATGATCGAGCAGTTGAGCCACCTGATTCCCTGCGCTAGCTAGACTTTCGAAAAACCTATCTGCACTACTCCTATTCGATATTTTATCGTGCTGCTCTGTTTTGGAATGATTTTTTTTTTCAAAATTTAGCTTTACAACGGTTTACA